GGGCCAGGACAGGGATTGAATCGCCCCAGAGCGTTCCAGAACGCTCTCAGAGCGTTCGTGGCCGTTCTCAGAGCGTTCCGATGCACACGTCGATCTTAGGCATGCGATGTTGATGGGCGTGTTCTCCACCACCACCACCATAAATTGGAGGGGGAGGGGGTCTTCCTCCCCCTCCTCCTCCTCCTCCTCTTCCTCCTCCTCGTCCTCCTCATCCCCCTCCTCCTCCTAGTCGGCGTTGGAGCTCAGGCAAATTGAGCCCCGACAGAGGGATGATTTTCACTCACCCCTCACACGACTTACGGACGACAGCCACACAGGTTGTACTATCGGGGCCATGGGAGGAGAAGGAATAACAACAACACATCAATCCCTGCGGCCCTTCCGATACCGCACCTCTTTGCGATCCCCTCTAGAGTAACCCGCTCATGGGCATTTCTTGTGCCTTATTTTCCACCTTTCGATCGAAGATTTGAGTGTGACCTTGAACACAACGACGAGCCACAGACGCAGATAACGGATTCGCTGTACCCATGCCCGGAAACGCCAGCTTGCCAGCATTACAATGTGTGAACACTTGGTTGCACACGCCCTGGGACCCTCTGCTCGTTGGACAACTTCAGCAGAGAGAGAGAGAGAGAGAGAGAGAGAGAGAGCGCAGGAACCGCCGCCACAGGGCGCGCAGATGGGCGCCGACATCGAGGTGGACAACAGCGACGGCGAGAGGGGCGGGCAGACGGCAGCGGGGGAGTCTGCAGAGCTTGCTCGGCCCCCCCTTCCCCTGCAGGGCCGCCTCGGTTCCCCTCTGCACCTGCGCCCCGCTCGGGCCCGGGGTCCGCGCGCCCCTGCCACAAGCGAGCCCAATCGTTTGAGAAGCCTTTTCCACGAGACAGAAGAACAACAGCGCAAATTGAATTCGATCGGCGAGCAGATCTGCACGACGCAAGCCCGAGGGAAGTTGGAGGCCCCAGGATTCGGAAGCAGCCGGCGGGTGCCGATGAAGAGCTTCGAGAGCCCGCGCCCGAACCGAGGTACGTGCAAATGCTGTCCCTGGAGATCGAAGCGCAACTGAATCAATGAAACCCGATCGACCTTGCCTTGCACTCGTTCGTTCGCCGGTGGGCAGAGTTGCATGGGCCTCGAAAGCCCATGGACCCCCCGCGGCGGGGCGGACGAGAAGGAGGTCTGGAAATATGGAGGCCACTCCGATCATTTGGACATGTTGCCCCCGGAGATCAACTCGCGCGTTCGCCGGGAATCGAAGGGGGGTCTGGGGAGGCGGAGGCCGCGAGGTTCAGGGGCAGCCGACTGGTTCCTATGACGAACTTCGAGAGACCATGCTCCTCAATGAGGAACCTGAGATCGCAGCGTTCCTGGGGTTCTCCAGTTTCATAGCGACCCACGAAGGAAACGCTAACAGCGTCTGGCAAACACTGCGCGGGAGGGGGGATGTCCGTTGGAGAATTTGCTGAAGCATTTAATTTTGCTCGCAGAGGGATTGTGCAGGCGCGGGGGAGGTGGAGAAGGAGTACGGAACTGAGGTAAAAGGGGCCGGCAAAATGTCCCAACGGGGGCCCACTCCCTCCTTAGCGGTTAAAGACACAGCCGTTGAAGGGTTTGTCATCGAAGGGTAAGCGCGGAAGCGTGGTGGACGCACTTTGGACGGTATCCATGATATCATGTGGAACAACATTGGCCATATGTTTTTCCGCGGTTGAGTTGCAGCGCCAATTGGCCAACGGCGGCACAGCCCGTACTTATCGGAAGTGGGGCCCAGTCCTTCGGAACGGGGAAGCGTTGGAGTTTTTGCTTGGTTGGGAGATAAGCACGCAACTGCCGCCCCGTGGAGATTGAAAAGCGGGCCAATGTGCACGCCTAAGTTGGAGACAAATACGAGCACGCGCACACGCGGCCAATGCCATTTATTTCTCTGGACGGAGACGTCGTGCGAATCTTCAGCACGCGCCGCGCATTTTCCCAGCTGTTCTGAGTTATTGAGCGCGACCTTGCAGAAGACGACAAGACGACGTGACAGGCGAGCCGGCGCGAGGTGAAGTCCACGGCGCCGCCCTCTCTTCTCTTCCTCGTTTTTTCTCCGTGGGACGTAGAGGAATATGGCTCGCGAGTTAAATGGGGGCCCAGGAGACTTCCCTTCTTGCGCAGGCCCGCTCGCACGCGCCATTGGCAGCGCAGTGCCAGCGGCGCCGCATCCCTTGGTTTCATCGAAGAGCTACTGACTGGTAATACAGGGCTCCCCGCGAACGGACCGCACGCTCGCCCGTGGTGGTGGAGGGGTGAATGTGAGGGCTTTGGGCGAGGAGGGCAGCGCGCGCGCCTCTGCGCAGGTCTTGGCAGCTCTTTCGGTAAAATGTCGAAGGGCTGTCGAGTCCTTGCTGCATAACACTCACGCAGGGGAATCATGCATACGTTCTACACTGCGCCTTAGCGGGCGCCTTGACGTTGACCCCCTCATGCGGGTGTCGTCCTCCTCTTGGTCCTCCTCCTCGCTCCCCCCTCCCAGTTATGGTGGCGGTGGTGGAAAGCAGGCCCATCAGATGTCTTGATGGTCGCAGTGCGCGGCCCCCCGAAGTGCCGACCCTTTGCCCGGGACTGGCTCTTCGTCCAGGATCGTCGGCTGATGGCCCCGAAGCCTGGCGAAAGGCCCCCAGAGGCCGGAAACGGCTGCAATTTGCCCGCCGTGATGTTGGTCACGACATGAGCGCGTTTGGGATTCGATCCGATGTCCGATCCGGCGCTGGCCGATCCTCCCGCCTCGGGGCGTCAGCGAATGTGGTGACGTTGGCCCAACCGCCCACGATGGAACACCCCCGTCCCGGTGATGGCCCCCCTTGAGGGGCAGCGGAGCGTTCGGTGTCTGGTCCCATAGTATCTTTCCTCTTTTTCTTCTTCTTCTTCTTCTTCCTCCACCTCCTCCACGTCCTCCTCCTTCTCCTCCTCCTCTTCCTCCTCCGTCCCTGCGTCTCCCGTGCAGGTGTCGGGCCACGCCTCCCGTCCGGGACGCTCCTGGGGCACCCGTGGAGCGGTCTCGGCGAGGCGCAGCTGCTGGAAGGCCCCCCCGCCCGAGGAGCGCCGACGAGGACACGCAGACGCCCGAACACCCCGAGCGTCGAAGGAGGAGGAAACGGAGGACGACGAGGAAGACGAGGATAACGAAGGATGAGAAGGAGGAGGAAGAGGAGGAGGAGGAGGAGGAGGAGGAGGAGGAAAAAGAGGAGGAGGAGGAGGCGGAGGAGGAGGAGGAGGGAGGAGGGGGGAGGAGGGAGGACGGTGGAGGCAGGAGGTAGGAGGGAGGAGGCAGGAGCCAGGAGCCAGGAGCCAGGAGTGAGGAGGCAGGAGGCAGGAGGGAGGAACCAGGAGGGAGGAGGCAGGAGGGAGGAGGGAGGAGGGAGGGAGAGTTTCGAACGTTCGTCGTCCCCGCCCCCCCCCCCCCGCCCCAACAAGAGTGTTTCAGGAGGGAGAAAACACAGACACAATTAATCGTCGATGCCCCAGAAAATATGGGAAACGATGGGGAAGTGGGAGAGAAAACAAAACCCAGAAAATACGGAAAAGTATGGGCACGTTTTTTATCTGTGTGTGTGTGTGTATATCTACTTGTGTGCCCCAGGGCCCCCTCCACTGCGCCCTGCCCTTTCCGACCGCGCAGGAGGCGCGCGGCGGCCGCGGCGGTCCCTGTCGCTCATCCGGAGTCGTCTTGTGGACGGTCCCGGGGCCCGGCGAGGGCCCCGGGAGGCCACGAGCTGAGAAAAACCTGCGTCTCGTGGTTTTTCCCCATGTGTTGGGCCTCTGGGAAGCCCAGAAATCCGGCGTCTCGACTTGGTCGAGACACGGGCCCCCGACCTCTCGAGCACTTCCCCGGGACCCGTTTTTCATCCCGAGTCGTTCTTTGACGGTCCCGAGGCCCTGCGAGGGCCCCGAGGGCCCGAAAATGACAAAACAACCGCCGTCTCGCTATTTTTCGAGGCGCCCGACGTCTGGGACGCTGCGCCCTGCCCCTCCTGCCCCGCGCCAGGAGGCGCGCGGCGGCCGCGGCGGTCCCTGTCGCTCCCCGGCATCCCCGCCGCGCCCCGGCGCGGCGGGCCCGCGGAGGCCGCCGGCGGGCGAGGGCCCGCCGTGGGCAAGGCCCTCACCGGCTGAGTCCTCTCCGGAGGGGAAAGAAACACACAGACACGATGAATCTTCCCAGACCCCCTCGAGTCATGAAAAAATCACGACGGGAGGTTTTTCATGATTTTCGGCCTTTGGGGGCCCTTACCGGCCCTCGGGACCATGAAAAAACGACTCAGGACGAAAAACCGGTCCCGGGGAATGGGTCGAGACCTCGGGGGGTCGACGTCATGAAAAAATCATGACGTCGGGGGTCTGGGTTCGATTCCCCAGAAAATGTGGGAAAATATGGGAAGGCGGGGGGAGACAGAAACCCCGAACATATGGGAAATTGAGAGAATCTTTTTATTCGCGTGCATTTATTTGCGTGTCCTGGGGCCCCTTCATCCTCGGGGGCAACGACCGGCTGAGTCCCCGGGATTGGCATCGCTCGGACGTGTGCATTTTTTCCCGGCGAGAACCATCGAGGACCGCCCTGGACCATCCAGCAAAAACAAAAACACACACACACACACAGACACACACGAAACCGAAAAGTACACGGGAAATGGACGTCCGAGCGGCGGCAAGCGGGGGCAGCGGTCGGGGCTCGAGGGACCCAGAGATCCACCGCAGTCCCAGACCTCGGGCGCCTCGAAAAACAGAAATCGAGACGGAGGTTTTTCATAGTTTTGGGCCTCGGGGCCCTCGCGGGGCCCCAGGACCGGCAACAAAACGACACGGGATGAAACACCGGTCCCAGGGAAGTGGTCGGGAGGTCGGGGGCCCGCGTCTCGAAAAAGTCAAGACGTCGGATGTCTGGGGACTCAGAGAGATCCCACGCAATCAAAAATTCCGGACGAGGGTTTTTTCCCCATGGTTGGCCTCTCGGGGCCCACGCCGGGCCCCGGGACCGTCAAGAAACGGCCCGGGATGAATTATAGCCGGAGTGCAGTATCCCCAAACAGGGTTTTTAGACCCATTGCGGTTTCCAAGGTCGATTGCGTGCACGTCCAGTGCGGGCTGGCATGGCATGTTAAAACATGCCTCCTCCTCCTCCTCCTCCTGCTCCTCCTCCTCCACCTCCTCATCCCGAACGGCATCTCGGAGCCCAGAATTGCGAGGATGTCTCCAGCGTAACGGGCTGGACCACCTCGCGCGCGGCATCTCGGACCCCAGAGTTGCGACGATGTCTCTGGCGAAACGTGCTGCGAGGAAGTCTCAGGCGAAACGGGCCAGACCACCTCGAGCGCGGCGTCTCAGAGCTCCGAGTTGCGTGGGCCTCCTGGGGCCTCCTCGTGACCTCCTGGGGCTTCCTCCTGGGCCTCCTGTGGCCTCCTGGACCCCACCTGGGGCTTCCTGAAGCCTCTTGGGGCTCCCAGGGGGATATCTAACATGTGGCCGTCGGGGCCCCAAAAAATTGGGGGGGGCCACAATAGCAGGAAAAACCAACGAATCGACACCGGATTTGTATGAACTTGGCACGTTCTGATAGGGGGCCTCCTGGGAGCCTCCTGGGAATCTCCTGGGGACCCCTGCTGCCTGTCCTGGGTGTCCTGCGGCTTCCTGAAGCTCTCTGGGGCCTCCTCGGGCTCCCAGGGTCCGAGGGGGGATATGTAACATGTGGTCGTCTGGGCCCCCTGGCTGGACCACCTCTTGCGCGGCATCTGGGAGCTCAGAGTTGCGAGAATGTCTTGTGCGAAACGGGCTGGACCAACTTGCGCACGGCATCTCAGAGCTCAGAGTTGCGAGGATGTCTCAGGCGAGACGGGCCGGTGTCTCGGGCGAAACGTGCTGCGAGGAAGTCTCAGGCGAAACGGGCCAGACCACTCTCGAGCGCGGCGTCTCAGAGCTCCGAGTTGTGTGGGCCTGCTGGGGCCTCCTGGGGACCTCCTGGGGCTTCCTCCTGGGCCTCCTGTGGCCTCCTGAACTCCACCTGCGGTTTCCTGAAGCCTCTTGGGGCTCCCAGGGGGGATATCTAACCTGTGGCCGCTTGGGCCCCTCAAAATAAAGGGGGGGGGGGCCACAAGAGCAGGAAAAAGCAACGAATCGACACCGGATGTGTATTAACTCGACACGTTCTGATAGGGGGGCTCCTGGGGCCTCCTGGGAGCCTCCTGGGAATCTCCTGCGCACCCCTGGGGCCTGTCCTGGGCGTCCTGCGGCCTCCTGGAGCTCTCTGGTGCCTTCTGGGGCTCCCAGGGTCCCAAGGAGGGTATGTGACATGTGGTCTTCTGGGCCCCCAGGCTGGACCACCGCTTGCGCGGCATCTGGGAGCTCAGAGTTGCGAGAATGTCTTGTGCGAAACAGGCCGGACCACCTTGCGCACGGCATCTCAGAGCTCAGAGACGCGAGAATGTCTTGTGCGAAACGGGCCGGACCACCTCGCGCAGGGCATCTCAGATGTCAGGAGTTCGAGGATGTCTCAGGCGGGCTCCAGGGAGGATATGTAACATGTGGTCTTCTGGGCCCCCAGGCTGGACCACCTCTTGCGCGGCATCTGGGAGCTCAGAGTTGTGAGAATGTCTTGTGCGAAACAGGCCGGACCACCTTGCGCACGGCATCTCAGAGCTCAGAGTTGCGAGGATGTCTCAGGCGAGACGGGCCGGACCACTTCGCGCAAGGCATCTCAGAGCTCAGAAGTTCGAGGATGTCTCAGGCGCAACAGGCCGGACCACCTCTCGCGCGGCATCTCCGAGGTTGGAGTTTCGAGGATGTCTCAGGCGAAACGGGCCGGACCACCTCGCGCAAGGCATCTCAGAGCTCAGAGTTTCGAGGATGTCTCAGGCGAAACGGCCCGGACCACCTCTCGCACGGCACCTCGGGGCTCAGAGTTTCGAGGATGTCTCAAGCGAGACGGCCCGGACCACCTCTCGCGCGGCGTCCCGGAGCGCAATTGTTTGAGGATGTCTCAAGCCAAACGGCCAATCCCGGCCAACTCAGAAACGAGAGTTGTGAGGATGTCTCAAGCGAAACGGCCCGGACCATCAAATTTTTGTGAGGATGTCTCTGCTCCGACTTCCCTCGGCCGGAGTTAGCTTCTATCATAACAGCACCCTGTTCAGCAAGCTGTTTGGGGAAAAAGCAGTCCCTGGGATAAGATCGAGAGGTCCGCGGACGCACGTCTCGAAACAAACATCTGGACGTCGGATGGCTGGGGATGGCGGGAGGCAAGGCGCGCATGGCGGATGCTGAGGCGGCAAAATGACGGAGACGGCGACGGGGAGGCGGAGGCAGAGGCACAGCAGCGAAAGGCGAGAGGCGTGAGGAGGAAGGAGGGAAGAGGAGGCAGGCGGGAGGCAAGAGGAAGGAGGTGGGAGAAATGAGAGAGGTTTCAGGCAGAACGGGGCACACCATCTCGTGCGCAGCATCTCGAAGAACCCTGACGAAGAACCAGTCCCGGGGACGAGATCGAGAGGTCCGCGGGCGCACGTCTCGAAACAAAAAACGTGACGTCGGATGTCTGCGGAGGGCGGAAGGCAGGGCGCGCATGGCGGCATCTCGGAGCTTCGCATTGTGAGGATGGCTCGGGAGAAACGGGCTGGACCACCTCGCGTGCGGCATCTCGGAGCTCAGTATTGGAAGGATGCCCCAAGCGAAACGGGCCGTTCTACCTCTCGCTTCCCGTTAAGCCCTCTCATGCAACTCCATTCCTCATCCCTCCTCCTCCTCCTCCTTCTCGTCCTCCTCCTCCTCCTCCTCCTCCTTCTCGTCCTCCTCCTCCTCCTCCTCCTCCTCCTCTTCCTCCTGCCTGCTCCCTCCTCCTCCTCCTCCTCCTCCTCCGGCACGTTTTGAGACGTCGCTAAAAGGAATATAACAATCCTGTTTGGGGAACCCTGTCTCGGAGCCCAGAGTTGCGAGGATGTCCCAGGTCGCGCCTGGTCGACGAGTAAGCTGTCGGGTCGGCACTGGCCTCCTGAACTCCACCTGGGGTTTCCTGAAGGCTCTTGGGGCTCCCAGGGGGGATATCTAACCTGTGGCCGTTTGGGCCTCTCCAAATGGAGGGGGGGCACAAGAGCAGGAAGAATCAACGAATCGACACCGGATGTGTATTAACTTGACACGTTCTGATAGGCGGCCTCCTGGGAGCCTCCTGGGAATCTCCTGGGGACCCCTGCTGCCTGTCCTGGGTGTCCTGCGGCTTCCTGAAGCTCTCCTGGGGCCTCCTGGGAGCCTCCTAGGAATCTCCTGGGGAACCCTGGGGCCTGTCCTGGGCGTCCTGCGGCCTCCTGGAGCTCTCTGGGGCCTCCCCCTCCTCCTGCCTGCTCCCTCATGCACATCATCCGCCTCCTCCTTCTCCCTCCCATCTCCTCCTCCTCCTCCTCCTCCTCCTCCTCCTCCTCCTCCACCTCCTCTTCATCCAGCCGGGATATCTAACCTGTGGCCATTTGGGCCTCTCCAAATGGAGGGGGGAGCACAAGAGCAGGAAAAATCAACGAATCGACACCGGATGTGTATTAACTTGACACGTTCTGATAGGCAGCCTCCTGGGAGCCTCCTGGGAATCCTGCGGCCTCCTGGTGCCTCCTGGGACCCCTGGGGCCTGTCCTGGGCGTCCTGCGGCCTCCTGCTGCCTTTTGGGGCCTCCTGGGGACCTCCTGGAGCTTCCTCCTGGGCCTCCTGTGGCCTCCTGAACTGCACCCGAGGTTTCCTGAAGGCTCTTGGGGCTCCCAGGGGGGATATCTAACCTGTGGCCGCTTGGGCCCCTCAAAATAGAGGGCGGGGGACAAGAGCAGGAAAAATCAACGAATCGACACCGGATGTGTATTAACTTGACACGTTCTGATAGAGGGCCTCCTGGGGCCTCCTGGGAGCCTCCTGGGGCCCCTGGGGCCTGTCCTGGGCGTCCTGCGACCTCCTGGACCTCTTTGGGGCCTCCTGAGGCTCGCAGGGTCCCATGGAGGATATGTCACATGTGGTCTTCTGGGCGCCCAGGCTGGACCACCTCTCGCGCAGCATCTGAGAGCTCAGAGTTGCGAGAATGTCTTGTGCGAAACAGACCGGACCACCTTGCGCACGGCATCTCAGAGCTCAGAGTTGCAAGGATGTCTCAGGCGAGACGGGCCGGACCACCTCGCGCAGGGCATCTCAG